ATATATATATATATATATATATATATATATATATGTCTTTACACACACACACACATTCAAAATGAATGTCATGATTTCCATGTTTTATCATTTTTACTTTTGTCAATTTCAAGTGATTTTACCAACAGCTGCTTTTTTTCTGTCTTTAATGTATGTAAACTTTCAAGCACAATCGTATAATTGTAATTATATAGTAAAATAAGGACAGAACAACAATTTTAGTTTAAGATCAGTGATTGTTATTATAAATGACAAAAATAACAACTACAACACAACACTTGCATAACAGGTAGATACCACAGACATAAAAACACCACAGTTCTAACAGATACTTTACACTTTATGACGTTTAGGTGGATTTCGTTTACTGCATTTTCACTGAAGGAAATGTTAGAAACTATCAGGAGAAGCTGAGGAATTCTCCGGCAATAACAAAAAACATAAAAAACAAAATACAAAAATTATCAAAGTATCAAGTAATAAAATATAAAATGTTGAAAAGGCAACACTTGTATTGGTGAGTTTGCATTAATACAAAAATAACAAATTAGAACATGGCAGCTACTAAAATGTCAAACTCCATATTAACAGTAAAATAATAAAACAATGATATGCAAACAATTTCAGTCATTTGAAGTACATTATCTTTTGCCAGTAAGATACATATAAGTACAATTAAATAGTTCAAAAGCAGATAGCTAAATAAAAAGCTTATTCATACTTAATCACATTGATTGGAGCTAGAAAAAAAATATTTTAATAATTATTGGCAGTTGTTGGATGGACAAAGGCAGGTAAAAAAAAAATGACATAAGAACATTTTTTAATTTTGATTTAAATAAAGACCGATATAAATATGACCTGAGGAAAAAAAATTGTCTGAACTTGATTTTATCAGGAAAGTGTCAAACAGTTTAAAATTTCTCTAAAGATAGTGCTTTTAGCATTTTACTTTAATGCATAAATTTGCTTTTTTTGGTCATACTTAGGCTAAAACATCAGCAGAAGCTTTAGATGCTGCATTCTTTAGTTTTAACACTGCAGAAGGGAAAGCTGAATAACATCTGTATATCAAACTAACAGTAAATAAAATATCTTGCTTGCTTTATAAGAGAATAAGATACTGAAATGGCAAAGGCAAAATCTTACAATTTGCCTAAGATAAAAGTTGAGGATAACGAGAATGTTCCCAGTAAAGGCAGACCGGTGAAGACAGGAAACGTCAGTAAACATCTTTAGAAAACAAAAAACGGATCCAGAGTCCCTTCATATCTGTGAAGACAGAAAGTCGTAAATGTAAATTATTACATTAAATGCAAGTAAAAAGCATGTGTGTGTATATGTGTATACATATATATATATATATATATATATATATATATA